GCATGATTTCAAGCTAGTTTCTAAGTCTAAAGGTTGCTTTTAGTATCAACTTTAAGCATGAAAATAACAGTTTTTCAACTGTTATCACCTAGGACGTCCTAAAGCTTATATACTATTCTAAAATTACAGAAAATTTAGGCCCAAGCCCATAAGTGTGCCGCTCAGCGGTAAAGTACCGCTCAGCGGTAAGTGCGTGAGTTGGTTTCTTCCCCTCAGCGGCCATTTTGCCCCTCAGCGGATCCCCCATGAGCTTCTGAGTGCCGCTCAGCGGCAGTTGCGGCTTCTCCTTTTGCACTTTTTGATGTCTTTTCTGATTTCATCTCTCTCCTTCTTCACTGCTTTCACCAAATTCACCTTAAAACCTGCACAAAAACACTGAAATCAAGCATAAACCTGTCCAGCTCTCTTATTTCTGAAAATATGAATAAAAGCATGATTTCAAGCTAGTTTCTAAGTGTTAAAGGTTGCTTTTAGTATCAATTTCAAGCATGAAAATAACAGTTTTTCAACTGTTATCAGGGCCCCTTTCTGGCGCTCAGCTTCAGTTTGACTTTTCTGCACTATGTCTTTTTCTCTTTTTCTGCATTCCAACTCCTTGGTACTTTAACTCCTCTTTTAAATCATTCCGATAACCTACAAAATCAAGGGAAATTAGTGATTAAATAATTAATTATACCTTCTACTCACTTATTCACAAAACTAAATTAAAAACATGAGTTCAAGCAAGCTTCTAAGTCAAAAAGGGTTGATTTAGTATCAAAATTGCACCACAGATAACGGTATATTCAACCGTTATCAATGGGTTACCCTCCCTCTTGTAAAATGATTTGTCCTCAAATCGGGAAGATATAAAGAAGCACAACTTTGTTTATTGCTTTCCTACTGGATCAAAAATATATCTACAATACACAATAAATATATCATCTATTAAAATTGATGTAAGGAAGATATTTTCTATAAAAACAAGAGAATAAGCACTTCTAATATTTTTTTTTGTAGTCTTTCTCTTTTCTTATCCTTGAACTCCTTAAGTTTGGCTCCAAATTCTAGTTCTCTACGAAGGAAACCATGATCATTTAAACTCTTAAGAAATATTTTTCCTTCTTCAATGCAATCTCTAATTAGTTCTAGGTTTCTCTTAATGATTGAAGGTACAAACTTTCTTCTCATGCAAGCTTTTAATTCATGCCAATCACGAATGGAGGACTTTCTACCTTTTCTACCTTCAAATCGAGAAGTGTAAAGAGTAAGGACACAATTTTCATTTGTTCTAGAAAACCATAGGATTTACAAGGTTCACTAATTTTAGCATTCAATAGATGTATTTCATCAAATTTCCTTTCGGAAGTTAAGTATGTTAATGCACTTATATCTCTACCAAGGAATGGAAGCTCCTTCTTAGCTTGATTATATATATCACACTCAATCTTATCTAATTCCCAGAATGTACAATTTTTCCTTGCCCTTTAATCCAGGTCGTACCCGAATCAAATTAATGTGCAATTTAAAGTGCAATATACTAGGACATTGATCCTTAGGTCGTCTCTCAAGGATCAAATGTGGTTCAAGAATTAGGTCGAACACATGGTAGGGGGTGGTTATGTGGAAAATTTTACTAACTAACTGTTGAAAAGGGAGAATAGTGTTAGCTAAACCCAATCCATGTGATGTTTGTTTTTTATGATGACAGTACATTGTTAATAAAAACACATGTATGTGTATTGTGTTATGTGTTATATGTGTTCATGCTTACTGTGAAATATGCACATATTGTGTTTGTCACATTTGATTGACATATTGTATTGATTGATGCATAATATTGTGTTTATGAAGTGACTATATCTGTGTATGCACAATATATGTTTTGGTGATATAAAAACCACATGCACAAAAGCATATCTACATGACTTAATCGATTACAGTGGTGTGATAATCAATTAAGGTCACCAGACAACTTGAGTTTTAAACTATGGCAAAATAACTAGTTTTGAATCGATTACATTAGTTGGTGAATCGATTAAAACTCGTGTGTTTGCACATATCCTTTTCAAATGTGTTGTGATGAGTTTTTAGAAAGAAAAGTTTTCAAAAATCTTCTAAGTGTTAAAGCTTAATCGATTACATAGTGTATGTATTCAATTAAGACCGTTAAGATTTGAAAAATGACTTATGCTTGTCATAACTACTATAACAGTCATATTTTTAAATGTGTTTGACTAAGCATTTAATGAGAATTGATTACATTAATTGAACATTCAATTATGTGCTTTGATTGTTGTAAGTCTATTACATGTGTTTAATGTAATTACATTATTGTAGTAATCGATTGATTTGCGTCATAATTGACAAAAACTATATATTGACGCATTGTTTGATTTTTTGTAGAACACTTGAGAATTACACTTTCATATCTGATTGATTTTCATCTGAGAGGTTTGACAAATTAATCAAAGGCTCCAAGAATCAAGAACGAGAAGTGGTTTACAGATCTTAATGCATTCTTGAGAAGTAAATGTGACTGGACTGAAAAGACTAATTATCTCTACACAATTGAAGGTGCATTTTGTTTGACCAAGAGAAGAAGACTTGCAATATTTGATTTTTTGTTCCCTGTACGTGTGGCGTCAGGAAGAAGAGTGGTGTACTCTTGACTTTGAGGGGAGATATCTCAAAGGGGTTGCTGCGACAGGAACGAGGTAGTTCTGTGTTGGCAGGTTTTGTTGTTCTATATTGGTTTAAACCCTCCCTTGGTCCTCAAGTTTGTATGAAAATCTCAGTTGGGTCCTCAAGTTTTTTTCTGTCTCAATTGGGTCATATTTTTTGTAAAAGTGAGCACATTGTACCATAACCGTTAAATGGTGTGAGACGGCGTTAAATTGGTGTGAGCTGGATTTTTTCATTTACTGACGTGGCATTGTGCACTAAAATTGAAAGGCCACGTGGTGATGTTTTGTTCACAGATCTTCTCCTCCCACCCCTCTGCTTCCTTCCATCGGCGCCACCCACCATCTACAACACAATCACAGACCCAAAAAAATGACATTCTTCTTGATTCAGTTGCAGATACACATTTATAAAAATCAGAACTTTTGGACGAATCTGGATGTGGGGTTTTCCCATTTTCAGCTGAAGAACATTGGATGCAGGTAGAACGTGCTGGGTTTTTCTGGAACTTGATGGGGAGACATGCCACTGCTACAAAACGTGGAAGAGAGATGAATGCGTCGGAGGAGAGAGGTCCCTTGTCGAAAGCTAAGAGCAAGAGTTTGAAGTTTCCTAGCCAGGCAATGAAGAACCCTGTGGTGCCACAAAAGTGCACCGAAGAAAGACTCAGAGGAAGCACAATGAATAACAAGACGATCGGAAGAAAAAGGAAGAGTCGTATTGTTCCTGCAGGAACAAGCTTTCGGATCCAATAACAGTAGCATAAAGAGACAACAACTGAGAACCACACCTTCATGAGATTCATAATCTCACCCTCCATGACTACAAGTAAAGATGAAGAAACCAGATTCTGATATTATCTTCTCCAAAATCCGAACTCTGAAACGAAACAGAGGAATTTTCAGCTTGTGAGGCTTCAGAGGAATTTTGTGTCTTCTTTCTGAGTTTTGAATCGCGCAAAACAATGCCGCAATGATGTCGTACATAGAGTTTTGATCTGTGACCTTTTTGTTGCAACCATCAGAGAAAAGTGTATGATTTTTTGCGAGCACTTTCAGCTTTAAGCTTTAAGCAAAGTGTAGTACTCCTACATAAGCACTAACCACAATTATTTTTGGGTTTCTTCAGAAATTTTATAGATGATGAATAGGGAAGAAAGATAGGGGCAGAGAGAAATTGATGGTGATAGGTCTTGGGTTGAAGATGAAGAGTGAGCAAGCAGGGAGCAATGGAAAGAACACTTTCATTCAGGCACATAGGGCATGGCTTCCCAAGCTTTTGATGTTGTGGATCCTTCTCATGGCTCTAATTGGTTGGTGCATCTATACTAAAATGGATGCTGACACTAAAGTCAGAAGAAAAGAGGTGCTNACATTGTACCATAACCGTTAAGTGGTGTGAGACGGCGTTAAATTGGTGTGAGCTGGATTTTTTCATTTACTGACGTGGCATTGTGCACTAAAATTGAAAGGCCACGTGGTGATGTTTTGTTCACAGATCTTCTCCTCCCACCCCTCTGCTTCCTTCCATCGGCGCCACCCACCATCTACAACACAATCACAGACCCAAAAAAATGACATTCTTCTTGATTCAGTTGCAGATACACATTTATAAAAATCAGAACTTTTGGACGAATCTGGATGTGGGGTTTTCCCATTTTCAGCTGAAGAACATTGGATGCAGGTAGAACGTGCTGGGTTTTTTTGGAACTTGATGGGGAGACATGCCACTGCTACAAAACGTGGAAGAGAGATGAATGCGTCGGAGGAGAGAGGTCCCTTGTCGAAAGCTAAGAGCAAGAGTTTGAAGTTTCCTAGCCAGGCAATGAAGAACCCTGTGGTGCCACAGAAGTGCACCGAAGAAAGACTCAGAGGAAGCACAATGAATAACAAGACGATCGGAAGAAAAAGGAAGAGTCGTATTGTTCCTGCAGGAACAAGCTTTCGGATCCAATAACAGTAGCATAAAGAGACAACAACTGAGAACCACACCTTCATGAGATTCATAATCTCACCCTCCATGACTACAAGTAAAGATGAAGAAACCAGATTCTGATATTATCTTCTCCAAAATCCGAACTCTGAAACGAAACAGAGGAATTTTCAGCTTGTGAGGCTTCAGAGGAATTTTGTGTCTTCTTTCTGAGTTTTGAATCGCGCAAAACAATGCCGCAATGATGTCGTACATAGAGTTTTGATCTGTGACCTTTTTGTTGCAACCATCAGAGAAAAGTGTATGATTTTTTGCGAGCACTTTCAGCTTTAAGCTTTAAGCAAAGTGTAGTACTCCTACATAAGCACTAACCACAATTATTTTTGGGTTTCTTCAGAAATTTTATAGATGATGAATAGGGAAGAAAGATAGGGGCAGAGAGAAATTGATGGTGATAGGTCTTGGGTTGAAGATGAAGAGTGAGCAAGCAGGGAGCAATGGAAAGAACACTTTCATTCAGGCACATAGGGCATGGCTTCCCAAGCTTTTGATGTTGTGGATCCTTCTCATGGCTCTAATTGGTTGGTGCATCTATACTAAAATGGATGCTGACACTAAAGTCAGAAGAAAAGAGGTGCTCGGTAGCCTCTGTGATCAAAGGGCAAGAACGCTGCAAGATCAATTCAGTGTTAGTGTCAACCATGTCCATGCCCTTGCCATCCTTGTTTCAACCTTCCATTACTACAGAACACCTTCTGCAATTGACCAGGTTTGTGTTTGATCTTTCATTGTGCTCTGTGCTTAGAACTAATTATGACTAGAACCAGAGCAGATGGGTGGCGCCGATGGAAGGAAGCAGAGGGGGAGGGAGGAGAAGATCTGTGAACAAAACATCACCATGTGGCCTTTCAATTTTAGTGCACAATGCCACGTCAGTAAATGAAAAAATCCAGCTCACACCAATTTAACGCCGTCTCACACCACTTAACGGTTATGGTACAATGTGCTCACTTTTACAAAAAATATGACACAATTGAGAAAGAAAAAAACTTGAGGACCCAACTGAGATTTTCATACAAACTTAAGGACCAAGGGAGGGTTTAAACCTTCTATATTTGATTGAAAGTTTGTGAGGTGTTTACATTTGAGAGTTGCTCTATAAAGCCTTAGCTGTAATACTCTGATCATTATAGTGAATTTCTCTCCAATCTAAGGTTGATTGGGAGGCTAACTCGATGTAGGCATTGAGGCCGAACCACTATAAAAACTGAGTTTGATTTTCTTCTCTCTATCTCTTTATATTCGTGCATTCATTTTGTTATAGTCTTTACATGCATACTGGTTTCATTGCACACATTGCTTACGACACAAGAAAGTTTTTCAAGAATCATACCTTTTGCGAAAAAGATTTGAAAAGTGTTAGTTTTTATAAAACACCAATTCAACCCCCCTCTTGGTGTTGAGAAACAAAGTCCAAAATTCTAACACTAATAAAGACTCAAATTAAAACAATGATTATGACAGGTTTGTTATTGGCTTCCCTACAATGATTCCAATCCTTAATTACAACTAATTATACGCTCTCTTCAACCTAATCCAACATCAATCAACCAACTAAGCGAAGATTAATTGGGTTTTCATAACCACAAATTAAGCAAACGCAATTGTACGATTAATCAATTATGCACACACGAATTAGGCAACTAAGCATATACCTAATTTGGAAAGCCCAAAACAGATTAATACTATGCAAGGTCAAGAACACAATGACAAAAAATTAATCTCATGGAGACAATGCAGTTTGACCAATTACCAACACAAAACAATTAAGCTGCCATTGAATTGAGTTTAAAACACCAAAACGAAATTAAATTCATTGTGAAGCACTGCAAATAAAACTGGAATTCCAAACTGAACAAAACCCAGAAAATGAATTAATGCATGACCAAATTGCAAAATTGGAAAACGAGTTACAACACCAAAACGCAACACATAAATGCATCAAACATAAAAACGCTCTTCAAGCTAGAAAACGAAATGCAAAAGGGAAAATGGAAACAAGTGCAAAAACGAAAATGAAGTGGAAAACGAAAACGAAATGCTGCAATAGAATAGAGAAAATGAATTGGGAAATAAAAAAGAGCAATGAACTGGAACAACATTTTATTTAACTTCCATCAATTCAGAAAACAAAAAGATGAACAATAGAGAAAATGAAAACCTAAGATGGAGCTCTCCAAGAAGCCAAAACGTGAAAATGGGAGAGTGAATGTGTATCTAGGGTTTGCCCCCTCATTTTGGCACTCAAACCTAGGTAAGTGAATCAGTCCCTACAATTGGGCCTCACCAAAAATGACCAAAATTGGGGTCATTTTCTCCATTTACCTTTGTGCTTCTCTCTCCTCCAGGACGCCACTCCTCCACCAACCAGATTCTTCTACGTCGCTTGTGGCTTGTATGTACTACCACAACTTCAACACGCGTCAGATCCACGTCTTCATTTCCTTGCGCGAGTCTCACATCAACCCTCACTTTTCTCTCGCACATCAGGGAGAGCTTCTTCTTCCTCGAGAGCTTCTCTCAAGCCTCAACCATTCTTCATCACAAATCCATCTCTTCTCCACCGTAAGTATAATATTCACCAACTTCTTCATCTTTCCTCCACTATCACCGATTCATCTACATATTTCGCTAGGGTTTTTCCCTTCCTTCACCATTTTCTTCACATTTTGACCGATTAAACACCTCTCCAACCTTCGTTCTTCCCTTTCTCACCGATTAATCAATTTAGATTAGGGTTTCCTCACCTTCTATGGTTCTTTCACCGTTCGATTTCGCTTTTATTTGTCCATTTAGGGTTTTTCACCGAACAAACCCTAAGTTCTAGGGTTCTTGAGAGTCTGATCTCTTATTTGGTTCGATTAGAGTTTCCTTCACTCTTCTTCGAGTTCTCATTTGTCTCTCCGCTGCGTTCATCTCTGGAGGAAGCTTCGAAAAAGAGTTGCATTGCGTCTTTGGTGTTCTTCTGAAAGAGCTCTTCCATCATAGCTTCACCTTAAACATAACTCTAAACACGATATATAGGCATATCATGTTCTTGTCATTTTTATAACAAATAAATTCAAAATAAAATCAATACACATAACAAATAACTAATTTAAAGAGAATAAAAAAACACAAAATAAATAAAATTAAAAAAATAACAAAACCGTAACCAATTAAAATAAAATTAAAAATAAATCACAATAGCAATTAATAAATATTAAAAAATTACAATAAAATATATATAAATCATAAACCTTAATCCGTGAACCTTATAATCTAAAGAAGAACACACAAAAATAAGTAGAATTAAAAAAAAAAAAAACTATAAAAGAAACGAAGGCGAAAGAAATGTAAAAGAAAAAGAATGTGTTCGAATGGTTGCTTGAAGGTTAAATGTGTCAGTAAGAGTAAGAACAAAAGTAAGGTGGTGCATGGAGATCAAGAGCACAAAAGATGAAGTGACACTGACTTAGAAGAAAGGAGAAAACGAATGTAAAAGTAAAAGTGGGTGAGTAGAATAATTATAGGAAAAATATTTTTTTTTTTACCTTAATAAAAAGAGTATGTTTAAGTATTTAGAAAAGTTTGAAGATTGAGTAACAAAACTGGGAAGTACACCAAGAGAGCGGAGAGGACAGGCCCACACAATTGTTTAAAATAGTTAGGCCCATAAAATAGTTTAATGATATGCTGTGTATGTGGTTCCTTTCTTTTTCTAGTAGAGTACAACAGAAGTTCCTCTCTTCTACCCCTCCTGCACGCAAGGTCGCTAACTTCAATGGTTATGGCTATGGTACCTCCCTGCTCTTACGCGCTAATGTTTTCGAAATGTTCTTCACGCTCCAGATCTCTACTCTTCTTTATACGCTTCCTCTGCTTCTACTCGATGTCACTTTGTGTCTCTACTTTTATTTATACCTCCCTATGAAGCTGCTTGGCGTAGGTTTTAGAAAAAAGAAATTTGGAATGTTTGAATTTGGATTTTGATTAGCAGAGTTGATGATTCTTCTGGATTTTCAGGTGAACGTAGAGAATTTAGACGCCGAAATAGAGCAATTGCTGAATGCCGAGAAGCATGCGAGGCTCACCGGCGATGTCGCCGCCACAAGAAACGCCGTCACTGAAATTTTACGGCTATGTTTCGAAGCGCGTGCATGGAACACTCTCAATGACCAGATTGTTCTGTTATCCAAACGACGTGGCCAGCTTAAGCAGGTAAGGGCTCTTTCTTTGTTTTTCATTAGGAGCAAAAACCTATCTAGTTTTTGTTTTGTTTTCTATGCTGATCATCTGTGTAGTTTAACTTATGTTAGGTTTGTCAGGGCTTTAATTGATGTGGCCTTGATTTTCTTTGTTTGCTTTAAAATTTGTTGTCGTCTACTTCGTAATCTATATTCTATAGTGTTTCGTTACTCGCCGGGATTGTGTTAACCGTTATCTGTGGAAATTTTGTTCCAAATATCAACGGGACATGTGCGCTAGTAGAAAAAGTTTAAGTATTGTGATATTCGTTGATTTCATCAATTTAATCTTAAGTATGTATTTAATTATCATTTTGACTAGAAAAAAAAACGTTATTTGTATTTTTGACCATAACTATCCATGCTAAGACCTTTTACACTTATGTTAGAAAGTTAGAGTAGACATTCTGCAGAACATGCGTCTTTCACCACTTATGCTTCTTGGTTTGGTTTGCCACACAACGTCTCTAATAAAGTTGATCTGGTAGTCGTGTTACCTGCACCCTTAGTTTCTTGCCCTTATAAGCTATGAACTGATCCGTGAAAATTTCTCTGTTGTTTTTGTCCCGATACTAAGTTATTAGGACACTCACAGCTTTGCATTTGACAAGTTATAATCTATTTGTTCAGAGTAGAGATTTTACCTTGTTGTATTGCAATTGGTACAAGAAACATGATCTTCATTCATAAGCCTATCCTTTGTATACAGGCTGTAACAGCGATGGTCCAGCAAGCTATGCAATATATTGATGAGACACCGCATATTGAAATTCGTATAAACCTCATCGAAACCTTGGAAAGTGTATGTGCAGGAAAGGTGAGCATATGATGTTTTCACTCTAGATGATTCCTTTTTATTGTCCTCTGATGTAGTCTAATAAGATAAGATGCATATTCAATATACATTGTACTGTAATTTGTATCATGTTAGATATATGTTGAGATTGAGAGAGCTCGATTGATCAAGAATCTTGCAAAAATTAAGGAAGAACAAGGACTTATTGATGAAGCTGCTGATTTGATGCAAGAAGTTGCGGTCAGTGTGAATATTAAATTTTGTGATGGATTTTTATTATGCACCTTTGATTTGGATATTTTACTGGATAATGCAACTAGTTGTCAGGTGACTTACATTATTGGTTTTCTTAACAGGTAGAAACTTTTGGTGCCATGGCAAAAACTGAGAAAATCGCTTTCATTCTCGAACAAGTACTATACATTCTAATATGCCCTTAAGTACTAAAATTCACTTTGGCCACTAATTTTGTTAATTTGTCATTCTCTTGCATTTACTTGTGGTTTAGGTTCGTTTGTGTCTAGACCGCCATGATTATGTTCGTGCTCAGATTCTCTCAAGAAAGATTAGTACAAGAGTATTTGATGCTCATGTTTCAAAGCAAAAGAAAAAGGCTAAAGAAGGTGATAATGTTGTTGAAGAAGCTCCTGTAGATATACCATCTTTGCCAGAGTTGAAGAGGATCTATTATGAACTAATGATTCGGTAAC